TGATTTTGGTTAAGGTAGATTATCATTTACAGTGTAATCAGTGAGGGAATTTTGCAGACTGTTGAGGGTTCAGCCTCCTGATGAGTCGGTGAAACTCTGACGAAACAGTTTGTCATAGCCCCTCGTTTGTTGTCCTCTTCTCTCTCTCTGCCAACGGTTTACTAAACAGTTCTGTTTGTGACGATATATGCTACGACTTCGCTAGCTTCCTGCTACGGTTTTTTCCGGTCAGGTCGAGCGGCATTGCTCGGGGCCGTTACTAGGCGGCCATGCTGTGCCTCTAGTGCCAGCGGCATGTCTGGAGTGTATCTTTTGGTTGTGACAGACCTTTCTTTGTTTCGTGGATGTTTTGCTGGCTTGTGATGGGGTGTGAACCGACAGTCTGTAGAGTTTTCCATCTGGTGTGGGTGAGTGATAGTCTACTTTGATTTTTGTTAAGGTAGATTATCATTTACAGTGTAATCAGTAAGGGGATTTTGCAGACTGTTGAGGGTTCAGCCTCCTAATGAGTTGGTGAAACTCCGACGAAACAGTTTGTCACAGCCCCTCATTTGTTGTCCTCTTCTCTCTCTCTCCCAACGGTTTACCGGGCAGTTCTGTTTGTGACGATATATATATATATACATGACGATAAACCGTTGGGAGAGAGAGAGAAGAGGACAACAAATGAGGGGCTCTCTCCCGTTCTCTCTGCTCGTGGAGCACTGACTGCACACTCGCACTTTAACTTTCTTGGATGTATACGACCGCTTTTCCAAAGAGCCTAGATGCACCTGACAACAATTTCGCATAGAGAACTAAGAGAAGTAGAAGAACTCCTACCGTCTTCACCGGTACTTATCACCGTATGTAGACTGAAAGTTGCACCAAATACAGCTAAAATGACCGGGCATTCTGTTCGGGTGAAGACGGTAGGGTGTGGCCTGAAAATCGCAGCATGTTAATCCACGGTTGTTTCCATTCGATTTGATTTTATTATCGAAACGGTAATGCAAGAGGCCCGAGGAGGGTCATACTGGGACCTCCGTCTCCGTCTATGTATCTGGCCTTAGTGACGTCTAAATTAATGGAAGGAAGAAGTCCCAAACGTAACAGGATCCCGGCGTGCTTGATGTGATTGGCAAGTGTTCGTTTTTATTAATATATAAATACTTTTGGTACCAGAATGCTGTTTTATTTTCCCCTTTCCAAACATCAACACAAAGTTACGCTGGACACAATTGTGGTCACACAACATGAGCCGTGGAAACTCTTCCTTCGGTCGTTTCACACACAAGCACACAAGCGCGCACATACACAAAGTCCGACGAAACAGTCTGGTAGAGTCATGCTTTTTCTTTAGTGCATAGCAAATATGACAACAAACACAGAGAGAGAGAGAGAGAGAGAGAGAGAGAGAGAGATTGTGCTTTGTCCAGGGGAAGATGTGAGCCGCAGGAAGGAAGGATCCATGCAAATGATTGTGACCTTGCGGGCTGAGGGATGGCGACAATATTATGGTAGGTCTTTGTTTAACTTATGGTTCTCTGTACTTATGCGTAAGGGTCTGTGCTCACACGATGACTTTTTCGACTTATCTGTTTGACTTTTTCGGCTTATCTGTTTGTCTATGCTCTTGCCTGAGGCCCTCAGGGCATATTCACAGAAGCACTTTCTCAACTTCTCTGTGAGTCTATGGACGTAATTGCGGTGCATTGCACTCAGGCATGGCGGTTAACGAGTCCAGATACATCTGCTATGAGCTTGGTGTCTGACGAATTTTATCGCCACTCATACACAGACAATCTCATACATGCCCCTACATGCATAAGAAAAGGGGAGAGAGGAGACAGAGTCCAACCTGCATATAGGTGAAAATAAGCAGTGGAAGACAATCATGCACAGATGGGGAGAAGACACACAGTGTTTCTCACTCTCTGACACAACTCCCAACAACCAATCACAAGAAAGAACCTGCGAA